CTCTGCTAGTTGATCACAGGCTCTCGGCTCCAGTCCCTGAGGAGTCCGTAGAGCCCAGTTGTCCTTACACAGAGCTGGTGGGTTGCCTCATGTACCTGATGACTTGCACTCGTCCAGATCTCGCATACCCCTAAGCATCTTGGCTCGCTTTGTGGCCACAGGCAGACACAGACCACAGAACTGGTTGTCCACGAAGAGGGTTTTGCGTCATCTAGTACAGTGACGGAAATAAGTGGGCTTATTAATCCACTGCAGTACATAGAATTAGTGATTTTGGCCGGATATGTTGTCATAACATAACCATAACATATTGCATACTGTGCCCCTTGACGTCACTTACTCAATGCACTTGGGTGTTGTAACTTTTATCGAGTTTATTGTAAAGAGTACAATAATAAGCGTTCGTTACTCGATGCGGACACTTTAGGCCAACTTCGTGTCCAGATCTATTTCCTGCCTGCATTACGCGACCTCACAACCTACGCTGCCATTTTTCTTTCGATAGTCCAGCGGCAACTACGCCAAGCCCCCAGCGACGATGCGACCGCTTCTTTCGAGCCAGAAAGATAGGATCGCGACACTTATTCGACAGGGCCAGAGTATTTGACAAATCGCTAAAGCATTAGGAATAGGAAAAAGCACGGTACAGAAATATGCTCACGAAGCCTCCCAGCGCTCGAGCAGCCTAGCGGTCAGGCCGAATGTTCCTAGGAACGGCCGACCGTGCATACTCTCGGTTCGTGATAGGCGCTCTCTGGTCCGAGCCGTCACTTCTGGCCGAGCGAATACTAGAATAGAAGCCGCGAAACTTCTAGAATTGGAGTGCGGCATCAAGATATGCCCTAGAACCATGCGCAACGCCCTGAAGAACTCCGGTTTAGTAGCCGTGCAGAAACCGAAGAAGCCGCGACTTTCTGCCCGAAATATCAGAGACCGACTCGATTTCGCCAAGGCGCATCTTGACTGGACCATTGAAGACTGGAAGCGGGTTATCTAGTCCGACGAGACCAAGATCAACCGCTTTTCCAGTGATGGCCGCAAGTACGCGTGGATACGCGACGGGGCGGCCCTGCAACGTCACCACATTCAGCAAACCGTCAAGCATGGGGGCGGGTCATTGATGGTATGGGGATGCATGACTTATGATGGCCCGGGCTATATGTGTAAGATTGACGGCCGCATGGATGGGGAGCTGTACAGAAGCATTTTACATGATGAGCTTGCTCAAACTATCGATTTCTATAGTCTAACCCCCTCGGATGTAATTTTCCAGCATGACAACGACCCCAAGCACAAGAGCCGCCTTGTGCAAGCATGGTTGGCTGAGCAGCCGTATGCAGTCCTCATGTGGCCTTCCTCCTCCCCTGATCTCAACCCGATTGAGCACCTGTGGGCACACCTCAAAAGGGAGCTTGCCAAGTATGAGCACCCCCCCACAGGGATGCTCCAGACTTGGGAGCGGGTGCAAGAAACATGGGATGGCATTGGGGCGGATGTGTGCAGGGGCCTCATAAACAGTATGCCTAGGAGGGTGAAGGCAGTGGTTAGGGCTAAGAGGAGGTAGACTAGGTACTGATTTTGGATTGTTGAACACTTTCTTCAAATCTGGCCAACAGTGTCCGAATGGTGCTTGGTGAATGTAATTGTAGGTGTGGCATTATAAACATGCCCTTTCAGGCTGCATGACATGTGCTCTTCTTGCTCAGGAGGCATTATACTAGTATATTAAAGCCCCCCTGTTTTTAAGACTCTGTATGAAAAATACACACGCATTTTAGCCTCTCAAAGGGTCAAGTTATGGACAGTTTTTTCCGACACTGTAAGTACATCGGGCATGGGGCTAGTGCTAGGAGCTCAATGACTAGTGGTCCTTACAGGGCACACAGATGCTTCATGGGCAGACGGCGCTGAGACGCTGAGGTCCTCCAAGGGCTATTGCTTTAACCTTGGTGTAGGCGCCGTCTCGTGGTGGTCCACTCGTTCGTCATCTGTTGCCCAGTCTAGCTGTTAAGCTGAGATCTGCGCCGGTGCCATGGCGGCATAGGAGTTCCGCTGGCTGACCTTCTTGCTCGCAGACTTAGGTGAGCGGCCTAGCTCTGCCCCAGTCCTGTACACTAACAACAGGGCCATGATCCTCCTGTGTCAGGAGCCTCATCTGGAGGGCAGAGCGAAGCACATCCAGCTGGGGTACTTTCTCCTGCGCGAGCTACAGCAGCGCCGCCAGGACCGCGTAGTACACTTGGCCTCCGTTGCCAACACAGCTGATGTCTTTATGAAGGCACTTGCGCCTAAAGATCATAAGCGGCACTGTGTACAGCTTGGTCTAGTTCCTGTAGCTTCACACTTGCTGGGACCTTGATTGTGTACTACTTCTATATTATCATGACTGGCCTTGAGGCTCTTGTCCCAATGGCTGGGCTAGTAGTATCGCCCTGGGTTGCTCTTGTTTAGTTTGTACTCTTGCTGACTGGTCTTCGGACCCTTACCTCAGAGGTTGGACTAATAGTGCCACCCTGAGCTGTGTGTCTCTTGCCAGGCACTGCCTCTCATCTAGCCAAGGGGGTGTGTCAAAACATATATATGTATCTTATAGGCTTGATAGGTGTATACTCGTAGAGTGTACAACCCCTTAGCACAAAAGTACCATGTATCTCTCATTCTGATTAATCATTTTCTCTCGTAAATACTTGGTTGGGTAGTTCCTTCCCGTGGTTGATTCTCCCTCTCTCAGGGGATTATTGATATGTTTGTGGATAGGGAGGGGTTGGAGGGTTAGGGAAGGAGGTACGGTACAAGGATAGTAGGAGGCACCATGAGACAGCGCCGGGGAGACATGGGTTGGACAAGTCTCCAGGGTTGCTGGACTGACATGGATGAGTGGGTACGCGTGCACATCCACAAGAGTTCTGTGTGTTCATATATGGGCGGATTTCTTCGAAGTTGGATCCAACTTCGCATACCTCCCTATTGAACCGCACTGAAATGGGAATTTCCAGGATTGCAACGCACTGTACCGCACGAGTTAGATCCAACTTCGCTGGATCCAACTTTGTAGGAATCCGCCCTAACAGGGTGTCAAACATATGTGTGTATGTTTAATAGGCTGCATAGGGTTAGAGAGTACAACCCATTAGCTATAATCCCCTGTATGCCCCCATTCTAGTCTACTGTTTTAACTTTAAGATGGTATCATGAGTAGGTTAGGTCCCCCCCCCCCCCCCCACCCGCGCGTCCGCCTTAGGTCCTTGCCGCCCCGCTGGCCCCACTGCCCCGTCACCTAGCTGGCCCGTTGGCCCCGTCTCCTAGCACCTGCTGGCCCTGCGGCTCCGTTCCCTAGCGCCTAGCCGCCCCGCTGGCCCCGCGGCCCCGTCACCTAGCGCCTAGCCGCCCGTGGCCCCCCGGCCCCGTCACCTAGCGCCTAGCCGCCCCGCTGGCCCCGTGGCCCCGTCACCTTGCCTAGCCACCCCGCTGGCCCCGCGGCCCCGTCACCTAGCACCTAGCCGCCCCGCTGGCACCGCGGCCCCGTCACCTAGCGCCTAGCCGCCGTGGCCCCCCGGCCCCGTCACCTAGCGCCTAGCCGCCCCGCTGGCCCCGTGGCCCCGTCACCTTGCCTAGCCACCCCGCTGGCCCCGCGGCCCCGTCACCTAGCGCCTAGCCACCCTGCTGGCACCGCGGCCCCGTCACCTAGCGCCTTGCCGCCCGTGGCCCCGTCGTCTCGTCACCTAGCGCCTAACAGCCCTGTGGCCCTCTCGCCTTGTCGCCTTGCGCCTAGCTGTCCTGCTGGCCCCGCGGCCTCGTCGCCCCTAGCTTAGCCGCCCCGTCAACCAGTCTCCTAGCCGCCCCGTCGCTTAGCCGCCCCGACGCCTAGCCGCCCCGTCGCCTAGCCGCCTTGTCGCCCAGCCGCCCCACGGCCCAGTCGCCTACCCGCCGTGTCGGCCAGTCGCCTAGCCGCCCCAACGGCCAGTCGCCAAGCCGCCCCGTCGCCTAGCCGCACCGTCGCCTAGCCAGCCCGTCACCTAACCATCCCGTCGCCTAGCCACCCCGTCGCCTAGCTGCCCTACGGCCTCGTCGCCCCGCTACTCCGCAGCCCCGTCGCCCAGCCGCCCCGCGGCCCCGTCGCCCAGTTGCTCAGCCGCCCCCTCCTCCACCTTGGGCCGTGTTTCCTGGTCCCCGCTCGCGAAACCAGCCCTCTCCACCGTCCTGCACTGCGCCCCACCGTGCTGCACCGCTCAGCACCGCGCGGCACGGCACTGCACCGCGCCCCACCGCACTGCAACGCACTGTACCGCGCCCCACCACACTGCACTGCTCCGCACGCGCGGCACCGCACTGCACCGTGCCCCACCGCACTGCACACTCCCCTGCCCTGACCCCCCTGCTGCTCTCCCTGCTGACCCCACGTCTGCTGACCGTGAGTCTGCCGCCGCTGCTGCCCTTGCCCGTGCTGTCTGGCTATCGCGTGACGCTGTCCCTCAGCTCATGATTAGCCATGCCCTCCCCCTGTCTGAGCGCCCCTGCTTTAGGTCGGTCAGGACTCCACAGAAGTTCCTAGAGGCTATTGTCAAGCGTTATTCCACCCCGTCCTCTGCCTCTGCCGGCTGCCTGATCCTTTCCATGCTCTTCCCTGATCTCACGTCTTTCTCCACTGTCGCTGACCTGGCCACGCACCAGCGCACGCTCGACGCGAGCTGGCGCGCTGCCTGCTCTAAGGCCCAGCCTAGTGTGTCTTAGCCCCCTATCTGCTGTACTCTTCACCTATTTGCCACCCGCCTCCCTGACTGCCTGGCTACTGTCTGCGACCACTTTCTGAGTCTGCACCCCGCTAACCTCACCCTCTCGGACTTTGTCGACACCCTGTCTGCCATAGGGACCCGTCAGCGCTCTATCGCCCAGTCTAGCTGTTCTGCGCCGGTCCCTACCTTTCAGGGTTGTGCTCCCGCTTAGTGCACTTACTCTGATGGTTCTGCGGCTGTCGCTAAGACAGCCCCTGCTGCTGAGACCATTGCTGCGATGGCCGCAGCGCAGTCCCGTTATGGTAAGGCCCGCCGCCCCAAGGCTGGGCGCGGCGGTGGTAGTGGAGGAGGGGGTGGAGGTGGTGGTGGAAGTGGCTCTTCCGCTGGTGGTAGTACTAGCGAGGGGGCTGGGGCTGGTGCCTCGGAGCAGCAGCTCCAGCGGGAGCAGCACCAGGCGCCACAGCATGACCAGCAGCAGCAGCAGCAGCAGCAGCAGCAGCAGCAGCAGCAGCAGCAGCAGCAGCAGCAGCAGCAGCAGCAGCAGCAGCAGCAGCAGCAGCAGCAGCAGCAGCAGCAGTCGCAGCGGAGGGTCGGCCGCCTCCTGCCTTGGTGGTCTGGCACCGATGGTGGAGGTGGTCGCGGTGGTCGTGCGCGTAGCTTATCATCGGGTGGTGGTGCGAGTGACGGGTGCTGCCCGTACCAGCTCTAGACCGGTCCTCGCTACGGCCTCGTGTGCGGTAAGATCGGTCATACCCCCACTCGTTGTTTTAGTCGCCTGAACGACCTGTTTCAGAATGCTTTGCCGTGGTGTTAGGATCTTTGATATGGACATGGATGAGATTAGCTCTCCATTGTATGTGCTGTATGTCGATAACTCTAGTGAGACTGGTTCCTATTACCCCATGTTTCCTAGTGTAGGCGCATCTCAGTGTTTCTTTCGGGACCACACTACGCTGACGCCGCTTGCCGTCCCTGCCGCTGTTGCCCTTGCAAACCCTTCCTTAGGTCCGGTAGGCGCCCGTAGTTCCACCCCCCTCCCCTGTCCGGCGGTTCCCTTAGGCTCTCTTACAGGCCTGAACATCCTCTCGTTCTCGAAGAACCTAGTTGGTGTCGGCTGCTTACAGGACCTCGGCGTCACCACTACGTTCCCTGGTCACGAGAGGTACGCTGTCTGTACCGAGGCCGCCACTGGTGCCCCTCTCCACACGTTTCCCCGGGACCCATTATCTGGCCTGTTCACGCTGAACACCGCGTTCCCCCGGGTTGGAACGCCCCCCAAGGTGGCAGCGTCTACCCAGGTTGCTGCGGCTTGCTCGTGTCGGTCGCTTACTCACCCGTCGCTTCTGTGGCACCACCACCTAGGTCACCCCACCCTTACACGTCACCGTCACATGTCTCAGCACGGACTTGTCTTAGGTCTCCCTGCGTCGCTCCCTTCGCTCCCCTCCTTGGCAGCACCGCCGTGCACCCCCGCGTCGAGGGTCCGCTCCGCCGTGCCCCTCACTCCTCCTCCTTCCCCCCATCCGCCGCACTGCTGCAGACCCTGCACATGGACGTCTAGGGCTTCGCCCCCGTCCATGGGCCGCGTTGTGAGCGCTACTTCCTAGTGCTTGTCGACGACTACACGCACTACACCACAGCATTTCCCCTATAGCAGAAGGCTGACGTGCCTGACGTTCTTATCTTGTGGCTTGTCTCTACGCGTGTTCACCGAGGTCTCCCTGTGTTGCGTCTTTACTCCAACCGGGGTGGCGAGTTCGCCTCTGGCTGCCTTGGTTGCTTCTGTCGTGCAGAGGGCATCACCCAGTCGTACACCCTACCGGACTCCCGCAGCAGAATGGGGTCGCTGAATGACGCATCGGTTTGGTCAGGGAGGTGGCTCATACCTCCATGATCCATGCTGGTGCACCTCATTTTCTGTGGTCATTCGCCGTTCGCTACGCCGCCCACCAGCTTAACCTGTGGCCGCACCCTCAGCGGCCACAGGTTTTGCCGACCCTTCTCTGGACTGGGTCTCCTAGTGACGCGTTTGCGTTCCACGTCTGGGGCTGCCTTGCTCACGTTCGTGCCTCAGGCACGGACAAGCTCGGTGCCTACACTGTCTCCTGTATCTTTCTAGGTTTCCCCCTTGACTCGTCTGATTGGCACTTCTACCACCCGCCGTCTCACCGTTTCTTTCACCTTTAATGACTCCATCTCCTTCTACCACTGCTTTCCCCATCGTGGTCCCCCCTCCCTCGTTCTTGGTTCCCCCTCCCACGGTCACCTCTGCTCTCCCCCCCTCCTCGCCCTCCCCCGTCTGGTGTGTCCCACGTCACCCCCCTCCCGTCGGTTGTCCCTGCGGAGGAGTCTGCTGACTCTCGCGGCTCGGCGTAGTCCCTTCCACTGCATGTCCCCCTCCCTGTCTCTCCTTCTGGGGGTGCTGGCGTGGATCTTCTCGGAGGGATCTGTGGTGCCGCTGGAGGTTCTGCTGTTGGCGTCGGGCAGCAGCCATCGGAGTCGCCGCCAGTGTCCGCTCTTCGCCTACTCGGCCTTCCTTCCCCTCACCGCCTGCCGGTGCCTCTTCCGTCGCCACCGCCTCCTCCGCTGCCGGTCTATGGCTTTCTATTTCCTCCAGCGGACTCTTCTCCGGCTCGTTTCCCTCCTTGTCCTCCTCCTGTGTCTCCTCTCCTCTCTCCTGACCCGACTCCTCTGTCTCACGTCTGGGCTCGTCGTCCGTCTCGTGCTCGTCTTACCTCCACTGTTCCGTGTTCTCGCCCTATGTTGTGTCGCTCCCACGCGTCGCGTGCTCCTCCGCTCCTCCCGTCTCATCCTCCGCCGTCGCTCGATGTGGCCTCGCCTCCGTTCTCTGACTTCCTCTGTGCCGCACGTCCCCTTTTTCCTCGTGTTTTTGCCTCTCTTGTTACTGACCCATCCGTTCCTGTCTCGAGTCTATCGGCACTTGTTGCTGGTGTCGCTGCCTTTGCCGCTACCTGCTGCTTGACTACGCCACTGCTCTAGACTCTGACCCTGCCTGCCCTCCGTCCGTCGGGGGTGTGGCTGCCCTTGGAAGTGACGTCCTAGAGGAGTGACAGTACGAGCTTGCTTTCCTGTCAGAGGCCGCTCCCCATCTCTGTTCCATGCTGCTAGTCCCCAAGGGTGACCCAGATGCCCTTGACATCCCGACCCCTAGCACCTACGCTGAGGCCACCTCAAGACCCTGGGCCTCTCAGTGGATAGCTGCCATGGAGCAGGAGATGGCATCTTGGAGATCCACCGGTACCTTCGTCGACGTAGCTCCCCCACCTGGGGTGAACGTAGTCGATGGCCGGTGGCTCTTCAAGGTGAAGCGCCCTCGTGGAGAGCCGCATGTCTTCAACGCGCGCTACATCGTGGCTTCAGTCAGCGTGAGGGTGTTGTCTTCTTTCAGACTTCCGCCCCGACCCCAAAGATGACTACTCTTCGGGCGCAGCTACACGTAGCAGCACAGTGTGACTACGAGCTCCACTCCCTCGACTTCCCTTGTCGAGGGAAACGAGTCGAAGGAAGACGAGTCGAAGACGAGTCCAGAAGATGGAACAGAGGGCCATAGATAGGAGTCGGCGGGGGAGGCGCAGCCAGGAGGGGAGGGGAGGGAAGGCCGAGAAGGCGAAGGGCGGACACCGGCGGCGACTGCTGCTGCTGCTGCACGACGCCAACACCAGGTCTACCAGCTGCACCACGGCGACCCCCAGCACACTCCACTCCAGCACCCCCTGAAGTAGCACCCCAAGAACAAGAACCCTCACCAGCACCGGCGCCACCCCCAGGCCCGCCTGGACAAGCCACGAGAGGAACCCCAGAACTAGCACCCTCCTCAACACCAGCACCCCTAGAGTCCACGAACGGCTGCTGCTGCTCCAGCTGCGACGATGGCGGCTGCTGCTGCGGCTGCAATGACGGCTGCTACGGCGGTGACTGCATCAGCGGAGGATGAGACACCAGGGGAGGGGCAGGCAGCGAAAACTACGCTGCAGGGCCACCAAAGTCAGCAGACTCCTCGGCAGGGGCAACCGACGGGAGGGGAGTGACGTGAGACACACCAGATGGGGTAGGATGGGGAGGGAGGGGAGCAGGGGCTACCGGGGGAGTGGGAAACAGAAACAGGGGAGGGGAGACCGGGAGACCTCGGTGGGGAAAGCGGTGGTAGAACGAGACAGACTCGTCGAAAGTGACGTTACGCGAGTGGAGGAAGCGGTGAGACCGCGGGTGGTAAAAGTGCCAGTCACACGAGTCAAGGGGGAAACCGAGGAAGACGTTGGGGACCGTGCAGGTAGTGAGCTTGTCCGTGCCAAAGACACGAACGTAAGCGTGGCAACCCCAGACGTGGAACGCAGACGCGTTACCAGGGGACCCGGTCCAGAGAAGGGTCGGCGAAACCTACGGCCGCTGGGAGCGCGGCCACAGGTTAAGATGGTGAGCGGCGTAGCGAACGGCGAATGGCCATAGAAAATGGAGTGCACTGGCATGAATCATGAAGGTACAATCCACCTCCATGACCAGGCCGATGCGTCACTCAGCGACCCCATTCTGCTGCGGAGAGTCCGGCAGGGTGTACGACTGGGTGATGCCCTCCGCACGACAGAACTGTCCAAGCCGACCCGAGGCAAACTCGCCACCATGGTTGGAGTGGAGACACAGCACAGGGAGACCACGGTGGACGCATGCAGCTACAGGGAAGCACCTATGGAGAGCTGGGAAGGCAGGCAGTGTAGGTAACGGGATTGGTGCGGGTAAAATGAGAAACTAGATGGAGAATTATTGGTGACATCCTTTCCCTCTGGCTTCCCGCCACTCCCTACACTCACCCACGCCCCTGACTCTGCCGTTTCAAGACCTGCTATTGGCGCATGAAGTCACCCTGGAAGTCCTGAAAGGGGAGAGGAAAGGGGCTCTCTGACTGTTCGAACTGCTACTGGGAGCATTGGAGGTGAATTCCTTGCCCTCTTTCTTCCCCCTCCCGCATTGCCCCCCTACCCCCCCCCTCCTTTACCAGCCGTTTCAAGCCCTGCTACTGGCGCTTGAATTCATGCTAGACAACATGAAGGGCAAGAGGAAAGGGGCGCTTCAGCTGTTCGCACTGCTGCGGGGAGCACCGAAGGTGACATCACGTCCCTCTTTCTTCCCCCTCCCTGCCCCTTCCCCACTTCCGTTACCAGCTGTTTCAAGACCTGCTACTGGCGCTTGAAATCATGCTAGAAGACCTGAAAGGGGAGAAGAAGGGGCTTCTTCAACTGTTCGCCTTGCTGCCGGGAGCACTGGAGGTGACTTCCCTGCGCTCTTTCTCCCCCCTTCCCATCTTTACCCCTCCCCCCCGTCGTTTTACCAGCCGTTTCAAGACGTGCTACTGGCACACGAAATCACCTCAGAATACCTGAAAGGGGAGGAGTAAGAGGCTTTGCAGTTGTTCACGCTGTTGCTGGGAGCACCAGAGGTGACCCTCTCTGTCTCCCCACCCACCCTACACTCCCTTCCCTCCCTTCCCCTTACCCAGCCGTTTCAAGACCTATTGCTGGCACATGAGATAAGTCTAGAGGACCTGAAAGGGGAGAAGAAGGGGGCTCTTCAGCTATTCGCGTTGCTGCTGGGAGCACCGGAGGTAACATCGTTACGAAAGGATGAGTTGGCAGAAGTGATTATAAGGGCGGATGCATGGGAGAGAGTGAGGGGGGATGGGAGGGGGAAGACAGGAGGGAAAAGAGGGGTTGAGAGGGGGGGGGGAGAGAGAGGGAGAGAGAGGCGAGGATAGAGGTGGGGAGAAAGAGACCAGAGCAGTAGCTGGTGCGGAGATAGGAAGCGAGAGAGGAGGAGAAAGAGGGGCTCTTGCAATGGCAGCAACAGGATCATCCGTGGGTGAAGTAGCCACAACCGCAGCAGCAGCAGCAGCAACAGCAGCTGCAGCCATAGCAGTAGCAGGAGAATTACCACCACCACCATTGCCACAACCAATAGTAGCCGCTAATTCAGCACTAGCTTCAACAGCAGCAGCAGCCACAAACTCAGCAGTAGCAGCAGCATGCACAGAAACAGCAGGACCAGCTGTGCCCCTACGCGCAGCACCTTCAGCAGCACCTCTACCTGCAGAACTGTCTAAGCATCCCTCCCAACTGCACAAAACCGCACAGTATCCCCGCAACCTCCCTCGCAGTTGCCGGGACTCCTTTTACCTCAGGAAATTGGGCTGTGAGGTATTGGGGACGAGCGGATTGCAAGGTTGAACCGGCCTGCAGATGTGCTTCTAACGGAGTTCCTTGAAAGGAGGATGCAATGGGAGTACACGGAGGAGCGGGAGCTGCTGGCTGCCAAGCTGGAGGCATATGTACGATTGTTAATCAGGACGAACCCAAGGGCGCTCAAGGTGAGGCACAGCTAGCAGTTCACACTCTTAAGCTGGAGGCGTACGTGGGAGAGAGGGCGTATACGGAGGAGCGGGAGCTGCTGGCTGCCAACCTGGAGGCATATGTTCGATCACTGATCAGGACGAACCCAAGGGCGCTCAAGGTGAGGCACAGCTAGCGGTTCACACTCTTAAGCTAGAGGCGTACATGGGAGAGAGGGCGTATACGGAGGAGCCGGAGCTGCTGGCTGCCAAGCTGGAGGCATACGTTCGATCGCTGATCAGGACGAACCCAGGGCCGCTCAAGGTGAGGCACAGCTAGTGGTTCACACTCTCAAGCTGGAGGTGTACGTAAGAGAGAGGGCGTATACGGAGGAGCGGGAGCTCCTGGCTGCCAAGTTGGAGGCATACGTTCGATCGCTCATCAGGACGAACCCTGATGCGTTCGTATCCTTGGTGCTGGTACTACTATCCTTGGTGCTGGTACTGCTATCCTTGGTGCTGGTACTACTATCCGTGGTGCTGGTACTACTATCCTTGGTTCTGGTACTACTATCCTTGGTTCTGGTACTACTATCGTTGGTGCTGGTACTACTATCCTTGGTTCTGGTAATACTATCCTTGGTGCTAGTACTACTATCCTTGGTGCTGGTACTACTATCCTTGGTTCTGGTACTACTATCCTTGGTTCTGATACTACTATCCTTGGTTCTGGTACTACTAGCCTTAGTGCTGGTACTACTATAATTGGTTTTGGTACTACTATCCTTGGTGCTGGTACTACTATCCTTGGTTCTGGTACTACTATCCTTGGTGCTGGTACTACTATCCTTGGTTCTGGTACTACTATCGTTGGTGCTGGTACTACTATCCTTGGTTCTGGTACTACTATCCTTGGTGCTGGTATTACTATCCTTGGTTTTGGTACTACTAGCCTTGGTTCTGGTACTACTATCCTTGGTGCTGGTACTAGTATCCTTGGTTCTGGTTCTACTATCCTTGGTTTTAGTACTACTATCCTTGGTGCTGGTACTACTATCGTTCGTCCCGCAATGCGCAGCGGAGGAGGATCTGCAGTTTGAGAAGCGGGACGTGCTAAGGGTGGTGGCCCTGATGCTGGGATGCACCGTGACTGCCAAGGTGAAGAAGCTGGACCCGGTCAAGTCCATCAGTGGCAATTAGCTTTGGCAGGTTGATTTCTCAAAGTCTCTCGGCCTTCCCCCCCCCCCCCCCCAATCCTGCTCGCTCCCCCTTTCTGTCCCTATTATAAGCAGGTCTACCAGACGCTGTTCTTTGCACTGTGCGCAGCGGAGGAGGATGTGCAGTTTGAGAAGCGGGACGTGCTGAGGGTGGTGGTGCTGCTGCTGGGGTGCGCCGCAACTGCCAAGGCGAAGAAGCTAGACCTGGTGAAGGCTATCTGTGGCAATCCGCTCTGGCAGGCACATAAAAGGAGAGAGAGGGGAAGAGGGGGTTCAGAGAAAGGTGGAGGAGGGGTGGGAAGAGGAGGAAGAAAGGAGCACCAGCACCAGCACCAGCACTAGCAGCAATATCACCACAAATTACAGCAGCAGCGACAACTGCAGCAGAAGCAACAGCAGCAACAGCAATGGCAGCACCAGCAGCAACAACTACTGCAGCAACAGCAGAACCATCAACAGCAACAGCAGGAGCCGCGGCAACAGGAGCACCACCACCTGCAGCAGCAGCAGTTGGAAAAGGGGCAGAGCCAAAAAGGGATCCAGACCTGTGGTATGTACAATGAGAGCTTGCTGCAGGCGTTGGCAGGGCAGAGTCCGGAAGGGGGAGATGAGAGGGAGGAGAGTGGAGAGGAAGGCATGAATGGGCGTGAGGTGGAAGGGTATTTTGAGTCGACTCAAAATACACATGAGAGGGAGGAGAGAGGAGAGGAAGGCATGAATGGGCGTGAGGTGGAGGGGTATTTTTAGTCGACTCAAAATACACATGAGAGGGAGGAGAGAGGAGAGGAAGGCATGAATGGGCGTGAGGTGGAGGGGTATATTGAGTCGACTCAAAATACACATGAGAGGGAGGAGAGACGAGAGGAAGGCATGAATGGGCGTGAGGTGGAGGGGTATTTTGAATCGACTCGAAATACATATGAGAGGGAGGAGAGAGGAGAGGAAGGCATTAATGGAAGTGAGGTGGAGGGGGAAGCGCGACACGCCGAATAAGGGTTGCGAAGTGAGGGAGAGCAGGCGGGAACAGCGGGGGAAGAAAAGGATGAGAAAGAAATCCGGGAAGAGAGGGAAGAGAAATATAAGGACTTCGTAGAGAAAGAAGGAACCATGGACTTTCCTGGGGGGGGAACGAGGGAGCTCGAGTCTCTGGCAAAGCTTCACCTGGATAACTTCTTGGGACGCCGGCACCATCTTGACGAAGTGATGGGTGAGGTTTCAAGAACAGGACGGGTGACGTTGCAGCAGTTGCAACGGCTGAAGAATTTGCTTCGGACATATGCTGCATATTGTGAAGCGCAGAACATGTTAGAAGTGCAGTGTGTTTTAACACAAAGCACAATTTATGAATAGAACTCTTTGAATTGTAAAGAAACATGCGACTGCTTTGTAATTGTGCAACCACTAAAACAATAGCGGTATATTGGACACCTGAGACTCCGAACCTCTCTGAGACAAAAGGGCGCGACGGATCAGGTCTGGAAGGGTTTCCAGCCACCCAAGATTCAATGGGCACCGCAGATCAACAGGTTTCACCGCTCTGCAGCGTACAGAAGCTTCAAAAACCATTCTGTTATCTGCTGAGTCAAGCAAGGCAGCAGCTGTCAGAGGCTCCTTGAGATTGCCGAGCAAGCTCAGGTCGTGTAAGGCTAATTTCGGTCAAATTTGTATCAGGAACTTATTTCTTGCCATTTAGTTTTGGCGTTTCTTCTTTTCCTGATAAACCGTTGATGTTCCTCGCGTAATCCGACAGTAATTATATAGGATCGTAAGCGCCTCCGGCTGACGTTGGAGAAGCTTAGCTGACGTAGAAAGTTTGAGCAGTTTCCAAGGGAGAAAATGCACTGAAAATGAGTTGTGTTTGAACAAGAAACAAACAAGCATTTATAAGCAGGCAGAAAGCTTGCGCGGTTCGCGTAACGCTGCTGGTGCACTGTGCAACCTCGGAATTCTGCCAACCGCGGAATTCTGGCAGCCACAGAAACGGATTTCGGTAATCGACACCAATTCCGAAACCGACCCCGAGTTTGATTCTCCGGAATTCAGCTGAACGCGCTCCGGGTCTGTGTTGGAGAATTTTCCTGCAGCTTGTTTCTCCCGCTGGTCTTGGCTGCAGTTTCCTGCAAGGCAACAGAACATTTCCGATCCACCGTTTCCCCGCACGCACGCATCACATAGAGCAACCTCAAGCACCCCATTTTCTTAGGTTTTCTTCTACCGATTTCTTCCATTTCTTCCTAGCTGATTTTCCTAGCTCCACCGCTGTTCCGCCACTTCCGCCGCTGCAGTTAGGATTCCCGTTTTTCTTCCCGTCGTCATTCTTTCCCTTGTCATCCGTCGTGCCATTTCAACACCACTTTCCTTGGAACTAGATGGGCGGTCCTCACACCGTCCTTAGCATCGCCGCACCCTCGTTAGGCATAAGGTTAGGTCGGTAGGGCAGCGGCGAACCACCCTAACAAATTAAGAAAAGCGTTGAGTAATTGAGGCCGCTTCCAGCTCGCTCGCGACGGGACCGGAGAGTTCGTGTCACCCCATTGGACGAACCGAGATCGTCTCACCCCATGCTCCTGCTGTAGTTAGAGTGTACTCTGCACTCCGGGACACGTCCCTATTCGTCATCGCTGACCATCGATTCGCACGGACCCTGTTTTTTTTTCTTCTACTGCCGAGGATTCACCGGTTTTTTGTCACAGCTCGGCGGATTCGTTACTAGCGATTGACCACGAACTACTGCAGGCAAACGGTCCGCCGATCCTAGCGAAGTCGTAGGTGGTCATCTATCCGTCAATCGTAGCCGTCAATGTCCTGTGAGCCGCTCATGGGTCCAGTGGTGGTCGTCACCGGCTGCTCGTCAGGCGGAATCGGGTCCGAGCTCAGCAAAGCCTTCGCCGCCAAGGGCTGCCGCGTGTTCGCGACGGCGAGACGACCCGACTCCATGCAGGATCTAGCAGGTACCATACACATACATTGCCTTCAAGTGCTTGGCGCACTCGAAGCACTTGGCGCTCAAAGGCCACCAGTTGCTCGTCCGCCAGAATCGGGTGTCCGTAGGATCTAGCAGGTACCATACCGGCTAGACGCCCCTGGATGTCCGGCAGAATCTGGATGTCCCTGTGCTTCCCCGCTCACAGCACTATGCTTCCCCACTCACAGTACTGTGCTTCCCCCCTCACAGCAATGTGCTTCCCCCCTCACAGCACTTTGCCTCCCCCCTCACAGCACTGTGCCTCCCCCCTCACAGCACTGTGCTTCCCCCCTCACAGCACTTTGCCTCCCCCCTCACAGCACTGTGCTTCCCCCCTCACAGCATTGTGCTTCCCCCCTCACAGCGCTTTGCTTCCCTCCTCACAGGACTGTGCTTCCCCCCTCAGGGCACTGTGCTTCCCCCCTCACAGCACTCTGCTTCCCCCCTCACAGCATTGTGCTTCCCCCCTCACAGCAATGTGCTTCCCCCCTCACAGCACTTTGCCTCCCCCCTCACAGCACTGTGCTTCCCCCCTCACAGCACTGTGCTTCCTCCCTCACAGCACTGTGCCTCCCCCCTCACAGCACTGTGCTTCCCCCCTCACAGCACTTTGCCTCCCCCCTCACAGCACTGTGCTTCCCCCCTCACAGCACTTTGCCTCCCCCCTCACAGCGCTTTGCTTCCCTCCTCACAGGACTGTGCTTCCCCCCTCAGGGCACTGTGCTTCCCCCCTCACAGCACTCTGCTTCCCCCCTCACAGCATTGTGCTTCCCCCCTCACAGCAATGTGCTTCCCCCCTCACAGCACTTTGCCTCCCCCCTCACAGCACTGTGCCTTCCCCCTCCCAGCACTGTGCTTCCCCCCTCACAGCACTGTGCTTCCCCCCTCACAGCACTATGCTAACCCCCTCACAGCACTGTGCTTCCCCCCTCACCGCAATGTGCTTCCCCCCTTACAGCACTTTGCCTCCCCCCTCACAGCACTGTGCCTCCCCCCTCACAGCACTGTGCTTCCCCCCTCACAGCACTGTGCTTCCCCCCTCACAGCACCGTGCCTTCCCCCTCACAGCACTACGCTACCCCCCTCACAGCACTGTGTTCCCCCCCTCACAGCATTGTGCTACCCCACTCACAGCACTGTGCTTCCCCATTCACAGCACTGGGCTTCCCCCCTCAAAGCACTGTGCTTCCCCATTCACAGCACTGTGCTTCCCCCCTCACAGCACTGTGCTTCCCCCCTAACAGCACTGTGCTTCCCCCCTCACAGCTCTGTGCTTTCCCCCTCACAGCACCGTGCTTCCCCCCTCACAGCGCTATGCTGCTCCCTTCACAGCACTATGCTTCCCCCCTCACAGCACTGTGCTTCCCCCCTCACAGCACTGTGCCTCCCCCCTCACAGCACTCTGCTTCCCCCCTCACAGCACTGTGCTTCCCCCCTCACAGCACTCTGCTACCCCACTCACAGCACTGTGCTTCCCCCCTCAAAGCACTGTGCCTCCCCCCTCACGGCACTGTGCTTCCCCCCTCACAGCACTGTGCTTCTCCCCTCACAGAACTTTGCCTCCCCCCTCACAGCACTGTGCTTCCCCCCTCACAGCACTGTTCTTCCCCCCTCACAGCTCTGTCCTTTCCCCCTCACAGCACCGTGCTTCCCCCCTCACAGCACTATGCTGCTCCCTTCACAGCACTATGCTTCCCCCCTCACAGCACTGTGCTTCCCCCCTCACAGCACTGTGCCTCCCCCCTCACAGCACTCTGCTTCCCCCCTCACAGCACTGTGCTTCCCCCCTCACAGCACTCTGCTACCCCACTCACAGCACTGTGCTTCCCCCCTCAAAGCACTGTGCCTCCCTCCTCACGGCACTGTGCTTCCCCCCTCACAGCACTGTGCTTCCCCCCTCACAGCACTGTGCTTCCCCCCTCACAGCACTGTGCCTCCACCCTCACAGCACTGTGCTTCCCCCCTCACAGCACTTTGCCTCCCCCCTCACAGCACTGTGCTTCCCCCCTCACACCACTGTGCTTCCCCCCTCACAGCACTGTGCCTCCCCCCTCACAGCACTGTGCTTCCCCCCTCACAGCATTGTGCTTCCCCCCTCACAGCGCTTTGCTTCCCTCCTCACAGGACTGTGCTTCCCCCCTCACAGCACTCTGCTTCCCCCCTCACAGCATTGTGCTTCCCCCCTCACAGCAATGTGCTTCCCCCCTCACAGCACTTTGCCTCCCCCCTCACAGCACTGTGCTTTCCCCCTCACAGCACTGTGCCTACCCCCTCACAGCACTGTGCTTTCCCCCTCACAGCACTGTGCTTCCCCCCTCACAGCACTGTGCCTCCCCCCTCACAGCACTGTGCTTCCCCCCTCACAGCACTCTGCTACCCCACTCACAGCACTGTGCTTCCCTCCTCAAAGCACTGTGCCTCCCCCCTCACGGCACTGTGCTTCCGCCCTCACAGCACTGTGCTTCCCCCCTCACAGCACTGTGCTTCCCCCTCACAGCACTGTGCCTCCCCCCTCACAGCACTGTGCTTCCCCCCTCACAGCACTGTGCCTCCCCCCTCACAGCACTGTGCTTCCCCCCTCACAGCTCTGTGCTTCCCCCCTCACAGCACTCTGCTACCCCACTCACAGCACTGGGCTTCCCCCCTCAAAGCACTGTGCTTCCCCCCTCAGGGCACTGTGCTTTCCCCCTCACAGCACTGTGCCTTCCCCCTCCCAGCACTATTCTTCCCCCCTCACAGCACTGTGCTTCCCCCCTCACAGCACTACGCTACCCCCCTCACAGCACTGTGTGTCCCCCCTCACAGCAGTGTGCCTCCCCCCTCACAGCACAGTGCCTCCCCCCTCACAGCACTGTGCTTCCCCCCTCACAGCACTGTGCTTCCCCCCTCACAGAACTTTGCCTCCCCCCTCACAGCACTGTGCTTCCCCCCTCACAGCACTGTGCTTCCCCCCTCACAGCACTATGCTGCTCCCTTCACAGCACTATGCTTCCCCCCTCACAGCACTGTGCTTCCCCCCTCACAGGACTGTGCCTCCCCCCTCACAGCACTCTGCTTCCCCCCTCACAGCACTGTGCTTCCCCCCTCACAGCACTCTGCTACCCCACTCACAGCACTGTGCTTCCCCCCTCAAAGCACTGTGCCTCCCCCCTCACGGCACTGTGCTTCCCCCTCACAGCACTGTGCTTCCCCCCTCACAGCACTGTGCTTCCCCCCTCACAGCACTGTGCCTCCCCCCTCACAGCACTGTGCTTCCCCCCTCACAGCACTGTGCCTCCCCCCTCACAGCACTGTGCTTTCCCCCTCACAGCACTGTGCTTCCCCCCTCACAGCACTATGCTACCCCCCTCACAGCACCGTGCTTCCCCCCTCACAGCACTGTGCTTCCCCCCTCACAGCACTATGCTACCCCACTCACAGCACTGTGCTTCCCCTCTCACAGCACTGTGCCTCCCCCCTTACAGCTCTCCGCTTCCCCCCTCACAGCACTGTGCTTCCCCCCTCACAGCACTCTGCTACCCCACTCACAGCACTGTGCTACCCCCCTCAAAGCACTCTGCTACCCCCTCACAGCACTGTGCTTCCCCCCTCAGGGCACTGTGCGTTCCCCCTCACAGCACTGTGCCTCCTCCCTCACAGCACTGTGCCTCCCCGCTCACAGCACTGTGCCTTCCCCCTCCGAGCACTGTGCTTCCCCCCTCACAGCACTCTGCTTCCCTACTCACAGCACTGTGCTTCCCCCCTCACAGCACTCTGTTACCCCACTCACAGCACTTTGCTACCCCCCTCACAGCACTGTGCTTTCCCCCTTACGGCACTGTGCTTCCCCCCTCACAGCACTGTGCCTCCCCCCTCACAGCAATGTGCTTCTCACCCACAGCACTGTGCTTCCCCCCTCACAGCACTGCGCTTCCCCCCTCACAGCACTGTGCTTCCCCCCTCACAGCACTGTGCTTGCCCCCTCATAGCACTATGCTTCCACCCTCACAGCAGTGTGCTACCAAAAGGAAAGAGCTTGAAAGAGTAAAGATTGAATTGAGTAGGGAGCCAATAGGCTCTTTTGTACAAAACAAGGAGTAAGGAAGAGTTGGAAGGGAAGCTCTCCTATTGGCCATAAAGTGGACCAATGAGAGAGATTGCTTGGAAGGCAAGCAACCACTAAGTGTGGTGCTCGGCGATTGGTTGGTTTGGATAGAGTTGGAAGGAAAGGGGAGGTGGAAGCCTGCAGGATGCTTCATGTAAATGAGTTCGTGCAAGACCTCCTAGAGGAATGCGTTGGAGACGTCCATGGACTGAATCTCCATGTTGAGACGAGCGGCGAGGTCGAGGAGTGCGCAAATGCTAGCGGGCTTGGTGGTGGGAGAGAAGGTGTCGAAGAAGTCGACAGCGTAGGGCTGGGTGAAGCCCTTGCCGACGTAGCGGGCCTTGTAGACCGGCGCCTCGCCAGGAAGCTGCTTCACTCGAAACACCCACTTCCCTTTGACCACGTTCGTGGTAGAGGGAGGGCGGGGCACATCCACAAAGGAGGAGTTGGCAATAAACGCCTCCAACGCCTTGAGGGTGGCCGCGAGCCAAAGGTGAGCGTCAGGACACGCTATGGCCTTCTCGTACGTGGCGGGGACGAAGATGGTGGGGGCGGAGGAGAAGGCGAAGACTGGTGTGCCGCTGTGGTCAGGGGAGATGGGTAGAAGGGCTAAATCATGCAGGTGGAGGTTGAGGAACTCCTCATGGGAGTCCTCGAGGAGGGAGGAGTGGAAAATGAATGGGAGGACTGCAACTGCTGCTGCTGCTACTGCTGAGGATGCATCTGCTACTGCTGCTGCTGAGGCGGCTGCCACTGCTGCATCTGCTGCCGCCGCTGCTACTGCTGCGGGTGAAGGCGAGGATGGAGCGACGGCTACTGCTGCTGGTGCTGCTGCGGTGGGTGGAACTGCTGCTGCTGTGAGGACTGCTATACTAGAGCTCGACGGCAGGGTTGGGCTAGTG